ACTAACCGAACCTATGTTCTATCTTCCGTCAGGTCCCGTCTCATCCATTGGATGCATGCTGCCAAGTTCTCTGCTCATCCAGGAGTCAGCAGAACTGTAGCCCTCATCTCAAGACGCTTCTGGTGGCCCACTCTCCATAGGGACGTCAAGGAGTATGTGTTGGCTTGCCCCACATGCGCCCGTAACAAAGCCTCACACCAACCTCCTTCTGGCCTGCTTCAGCCGCTTCCTGTTCCCTCGCGTCCTTGGTCTCATATCGCCATTGATTTCGTCACCGGTCTCCCCGTCTCTCGAGGTATGTCCACCATATTCACCATTGTTGACCGTTTCTCGAAGTCCTGCCATCTTATTCCCCTCAGAAAACTTCCCAGGGCCTTCCAGACAGCCCAGCTTCTCATCAAACATGTTTTCCGTTTACACGGCATTCCCCAAGAGATCCTCTCGGACAGGGGTCCTCAGTTCATTTCCCAGGTCTGGAAGGCTTTCTGTTCTGCTCTCGGCTGCAAACCCTCTCTCACCTCTGGTTACCACCCCCAATCTAATGGTCAGACTGAGAGAATGAACCAGCCGTTGGAATCCACCCTTCGCTGCCTCACTTCGAACAATCCCGTGGACTGGAGCCAATTTCTCCCTTGGATAGAATACGCACATAACTCCCTCAGATCTGCATCCACCGGACAATCCCCGTTTCAGGTTAGTCTCGGCTATCAACCACCTCTTTTCCCCGCAGACGAGAGAGAGATTTCGGTCCAGTCCGTAAACCAACACATCCGCCGTTGCCAAAGAATCTGGAGGGAAACCATCGCCACCCTCAACCAGTCATCAGAGTCCATAAAACGCTTCGCCGACGCCAGGAGACGTCCCGCCCCCGAGTACACTGAGGGCCAGGAGGTATGGCTGTCCACTCGAGACATCCCCCTCAAGGGGATGTCTCGAGTCTCTCCTAGGTTCATCGGGCCCTACAAGATCACCCGAGTCATCAACCCCTCAGCCGTCCGTCTCCAACTACCTCAGTCCCTCCGAATCCACCCTACCTTCCACGTGTCTCAAGTCAAGCCTGTCTCTTCGAGCCCTCTGTGCCCACCGTCCGACTCCCCAACACCCGCCCTGGAGGTCGATGGTCATCCGGCCTTCACTGTCCGTCGCATTGTGGACTCCCGTCGACGAGGTCGCGGATGGCAGTACCTCGTCGACTGGGAGGGCTACGGACCGGAGGATCGCCAGTGGGTTCCGGGCTCGTACATCCTCGATCCTGCCCTTATCGAGGAGTACGAGCGTTCCTGCCCATCAACCTCTTCCGGACCGCCAAGGGGCGGTCGTTGAGGGGGGGGTACTGTTGGGAGCTGGAGAAATTCCACCTTTCTCCAGCAGAGTCCGCCGTGGATCCTCTGAGGGAGCCTCCTGCTCAGCTGCAGCTCATCAAGATCATCAGAGGATCCACTACTTAAGCTGTCTTCAGACCTTGCCTCAACGCCGCAGTGTTGTTCCAGTTGGTCAGCGCTTAAGCCTAGATCCTCAGTGAAACTCTATGACTTTGAATCCAGCCTGGATTCTAACTATTGTCTCTGTCTTCCAGGAAACCTGTGCCTCCTCTGTGAAAGCTCAGGAAGAGCTAACCTGCCGAGCCGACCCTCAGAGCCAAACCTGAAGAATCTCAGAGAACCTCCAAGCAGCTCTGGACTAGAGCTGAAAAACCCAAAACCAAGGTCTGTTCATTATAGACGTGAGACGCTGAAGCAGCAAACGGACTCTGCTGTTGAACTCCTCTCCAGATCCAACAGTGACTCTCCCAAGGCTAACCTCAAGAACCCTCAAGGTACAATCAGTGATCCTCTGGAAATCAAACCTCTGTTGGCAACGCTAACTGAACTGTCTCTCACGCAGACTCCGGTGAACCAGTATCCAGGCTCCGAACCAGAACCTGTACATTCTGTGTGCTTGTGCATAATAAACTTGTTAAACTTTCATCCCTGTGTCCGTCAGTGGTGTTCTGCATTCTTGGGTCGCTTTTAGTGAACCCATCATGACAATTAATTGCTAATTAATTGCTAATAATTGCTGATTGCAGCCCTAATTCAGTGACTACACGCTGGCCTGCTAATAAAATAAGTTCTCCTGGGATTAGAGATCAGCGGTTTGACCATCATAAGTAAAAACCTAAAAGTAATAATGAAATAAAATCATATATTTATCACATGAAAAGGGAGGAAATATCACAAGTATGAGTAGAAAATATAAAAATATTGAGTTTAGAGCAGAATTATTTTGTGGTGGGGAATTGGAGAAAAGTACATTTTTAGAACATTTTATCAGTTCTTAGGATTTTTTCATGTTCGTTAGTTTTAAACGTGAAACTATAAAGGGTGTTGCCTTAGTGCTGTTGAATTATCAAAATATCTGTTTAAAAAAATAAATAAATTTGTTTTTTAATTATAAATATAGTATAAAAATGATGTATAATGTCAGCTCTCTAGAGCAGTGGTCCCCAAACTACGGCCCGTGGGCTGGATGCGGCCCGCCTCCACATTTGGTCCGGCCCCCTGAACAATACCAGAGTATTTTCATATAAGTGTATTTTTTTTTTTTTTTTTTTGTATTTGATAATAAAGTTGGACATTTGCAATAAAATGTTCCTTAATTATGAAGTTTTTTAATTATTAACTATTAGTAACTATTTCAGGATTGTAATCTGGATGAACTGACTGCAATGATTAAGTTTTCAGGTGGATTTTCTCACTTAAAAACATAATAAAACTACTTTATTCCCACTGATCACAGCAAATATAGCTGCAAGGCAGAGAAAGGATAGTGAAGCTCCGCCGAACGCACGTCAGAGCCACTTTTGCACCGCGCAGCCAGAGCAGCAAAGCTGCTTCAGCCACGCGTCAGAACTAACTGGTACAAGCAGCAAAAATGAAGCAGCAGACGCCATTTTGCTGCTCTTGCTGCGTCCGGTGTGAACGTAGCATTAACCTGCCATTTCTGAGGCTGGTGACTCGGATGAACTTATCCTCCGCAGCAGAGGTGACACTTAAGTCTTCCTTTTCTCATGTGAGTTTCTTTGTGGTGCTTGATGGTTTTTTCAACTGCAAATGGGGACACTGGGGGAATAATTTTTTGGAATGAATCTTCCAATTTTTGATAGTCATGAAAATAAAGAAAACTCTTTGAATTAGAAGGTGTGTCCAAACTTTTGGTCTGTACTGTATATATATAAATATTCATCTATATAAATACCCACGTAAATACCCTCTGCAATAACCCAGTATAATAATCCTGCTTTATAAAAAGTCTGACTTGTTTCCGGAGTTGGACTCCACCACTGTTGCCCTTTGTCACCAATATATTCATAACTTTCATGGACATAATTTCTAGGTGCAGCCAAGCTGTTGAGGGGATCCGTTTTGGTGGCCTTAGGATCGTTTCTCTGCTATTCGCGGATCAAGTGATCTACAGCTCTCACTGGAGCAGTTCGCAGCCGATTCTGGAGCGGCCGGGATGAAGATCACTGCCTCCAAATCCGAGACTATGGTCTTGAGCCGGAGAAGGGTTGAGTGCCTTCTCCGCATTGGAGAGGATGTACTGCCCCTAGTGGAGGAGTTTAAGTATCTTGTTCACGACTGGGGAAGATGGAGCGGGAGATCGATAGGCTGATTGGTGCAGCGTCTGCTGTGAAGTATGCGCTGTACCGGTCTGTGGTGGTGAAGAGAGAGCTGAGCCAAAATGAGAAGCTCTCGATTTAGCGGTCGATCTACGTTCCTACCCTCATCTATGGTCATGAGCTTTGAGTCATCACCAAAAGAATGAGATCCCGGATACAAGCGGCTGAAATGAGTTTCCTCCGTAGTGCGTCTGGGCTCTCCCTTAGAGATAGGGGGAGGAGCTCAGTCATCCGGGGAGGACTCAGAGTAGAGCCACTGCTCCTCCACATCGAGAGGAGCCAGCTGATAAAGTTTTCGGGGTATGTCCCATTTGGAGGAGACCCAGGGGGAGATCCAGGACACGCTGGAGGGACTAAGTTTCTCGGCTAGCCTGGGAGCGCCTTGGGATTCCCCCGGAGAAGCTGGACCAAGTGGCTGGGGAGAGGGACGTCTGGGCCTCCCCACTGGAGCTGCTACCCCCGCGACCCGACTCCACTGTACCGGCGTCCAGAAAACTCCACAGACGCTGTTAGATTCACATCTGGATATAATGTGGAGACGGAATCAACACACAAACAGCTATAGGAGTTATTTAAAGCATCTTTAAAGCCAAAGCGGACAAAATTAGAGAAAACTCCTCCTTTGTAGTAAGGATGGAACGGTTTATGAAAACCGTCCGAGCCGTTCGGTTCGACTGTCTCGGTTCGGTTCGCGTGTGTTTCGTTCGGTTCATGCGCTGCTCCTTTTTCTCATAGGCGAAGCGTTTACACTCCAGAGCAGAAGGTGGCGGTACTGCGACCAAAGCCAACTACCAGTAGTAAACAAGAAGAAGAAGAAGCGAAGCAGCGTAGCCGGGTATAGCAGAAAAAAATCAGTTGTTGTGGAGAATTGTGTGGGTATGGCGAGTGGGAAAGAACAGGAGTTGGAAGACGCGCCAGCAGCACTTTATAGGTCTGCTGTATGGGAGCGCTTTGCATTTAGAGTGACCTACGATGACGGCGGAAAGAAAGCTGTGGATAAAAGTGCAACAGTGTGCAACACGTTTTGTTTATGCTACCAGCAACACGACCAACATGTCATGCTAACAATCAACATATACCGAACCAAAAACCATGACCACGAAACCGTGAACCGAACCAAAGTTTTTTAATATCTGAGATCTTTTCATTTGGTCATTTTGTAAATAACAGAATGGTTGTTTGGATGGATTTCTTCTTCACATTTATAGTTCATGTTCTTGTACATTTTTCAGTTAAAATAAAGAAACACCGATCTCTGACCAAAGCTATTAGAATTTCGCAAACAGAAAAAGCTTTAAGTTCAGATATTTTGGTCAGTCAAAACTATGCAGTCAGTTCATTCTTTGTTACACCATTTTATTGATCATATTTTATGTAAAACTTATATGTACATGTAATAGGCAGCAATGAAATGCTGACATCACAATCTAACAAAAGGAAATAGTGCTAAAAAAGGACCAAAATCGCCAAAGCAGAACAGACAAGTAGAAAATGTTTAGATCCACGGCGCCAAATGAAGCATTTTAAACAAAACACATAAATCATCACTATCAAAAACTTTGCAATGTACATAAAAAACAAAAAAAAACATTTACTGTAGGTCTTATTTTAACAAGTATTTACCAGCACTATTTTATACTCTGTGTGTCAAAGCTCACACTTGTTTTAAATGCAAACTGAAACAGCCGTTTCTGGAGACTTTTAAGGATTGGTTTCCTCCTGGAAATATTGTTAGCCACCATTAGCATATCAGAGAAGAGACAAACTGCTGATAAATTGGAACAATAACACTATTTATAAAATATACTATTTTCAGGCACAGAAAAAGTTGAACTTGACATCATTTATGTTATTTTGTTTAGTGGCTATTTGCACATAATGCATGTTTTATAGCTTGACATTTGCCATCCCAAACGTGTCAACAGCATGGACCTCTGCTAACTTTTAGAACCATCAGGGTTTGGTCAGACTAACCAACCCGTCCTCTGACCCGGCAGACCAACAGTCTTTTCCTTGAACTGAAAGGCAAAAACAAGAAGAAACTCAACCTTTTCGTCGTCATTCCCCAATGCATTTATCGTAAACTTAACAGCGGACATATGTGTAAATATACAAAGATTTAGGTAGATAAACAGGACGATAGAAGCAAAGTTTGCCAGTTCATACGTGGAATAAAACGCCTGCAGATTTGGGAGTGTATGTGTACTATTTGAAGACGTTAGTGAATTCGGGACATTTGTGGGTTTTGAGTGTTTTCATGGCCTTTTTGAACTCCTTGTTGGACTTGTCCCACTTGTGGATGCCTGTGAGGAGGTACTGCTTGTCCACCTTCCGGCCCATGATCAGGTACTGGTTTGTCAGGTTGTCTAGCTGTTGGCAGGGGCAGTCTGCACCGTTCTTCAAGTACAGCACCAGCTTCTTTGTGTCCTTTTTCTTTAGGTTTCCTGCTTTGACCATCTTCTTCCTCTTTTGCAGGATCACCTTGCGGTCTGTGTTTTCTCGTTTCACCTCCTTTATCTTGGCCTTGATTGCTGTTGTGGAGACACAATGAGAAAAGATTGAGAAAACATTTTGTCCAAGTACAATCCAGCAGCTAAAGACTACCTTGTTAAATAGTGGAAAATAGAGACCTATACTAATGTATCAGATGGTGGTAATATCCTCACAGTATCATGGCTATGGTAGGGTAGGGTTTTGGTCAGGGGGGGATTTACCATTAGGCAATAATAGGCAGTTGCCTAGGGCCCCACATTCCTGGGGGCTCCATAAAACTCTGTTTCCATGTATGGTTAATACAACTATTCCTTATTTCTGCACATTAATTATGTTTTTGATAAAACGCTCAGTGTCCACCATATTGGATCAGTCCATTTGCTGCACATGTTCAGAAAGGTCCAAACAGACAGCAGCAAACCATTTGAAAACAAACCATGCAAAGAGCAGTGTTGCCAACTTAGCGCTTTAGTCGCTATATTTAGCCACTTTTCAGACCCCTCTAGCACTTTGATTTCTAAAAAGCTCCTAGCGCCAAATCTAGAGACTTTTTTCTGCTACTGGAGACTTTGGAGACAACATCTAAAAGCAGCGAACTCTGCTCTCCAGAGCGAGTAGATTGGTAACCCCGCCTCCTGCTCTCCTCTATCTTGTCTGCTGTCATGATTCATGCAGCTATTATTTCATCCAAATGAAAAATGGAGAACAGATAAGCAGATCATGGCTTGTCTACAGTGAAAAGAAGGACTGGGTTATTTACTTTGGCCTTTTTGGAAACACAGGAAGGAGCAATCAGCTAAGTGAGCTTAGTGCTTGGAAAAAATCTTTCATTCCTTTAGAGACAGCATGAAAAGTCAGCTGAGTACAAAACATAGAGAGGAAAACAAGAAGAAAAGGGACAAGAAGAGAGGGACACAACCTAGAACAGATAATGGATGTCTATTCTATTAACATTTCTCTATCTGGAGAATGGGGCTGTTTGATGTGTTGTCTTCTCCATTCAGAGGGCCCCCTGCCTGTCTTTGCCCAGGGCCCCACATTTCCTAAATCCGCCCCTGGTTTTGGTTAAACCATGGCTAGTTGTCCTCAATTCCAAGACAAGACAATAATACTAATATGGCCACCTGTTATTAATTAGGTTTACATGGACATCAGTAATTGGAATTACATCTGGTCTTGTTTAAAAATGTGTCATGTCAGAATATTGGCAGGAATTGGATAAAATTATAATCTAGAGAGGGAAGCTTTAAGGTCAGTTAATCTGAATAACCTTATTTATACTTCACGCCAATGGTATGTGTCTATAGGTGTCAAGTAACACAAATACTTTGTTCCTTATTGAGTACTTTTATGAAGTAAGTAACCTTTTACTTCTATTCATTACATTTTAAAACTAGACTCCTTAGTTTTGTTCCATTTAAGCTCATTTTCATTCTGGCTTTTTGGTATTTAAAAAAAAAATAAAAACCATGTAAATAATTAGTTTCATCCAGACAACTAATTTTTTTGTGGTTGGACTCGGTGCTGCTCCAACCTATTGTTCACTGCATTCCAAAAGAAATAGTTTTTGAAGATGATGCAAAGTTAAATTTGACACTGTTACCATTATTTATAGTGATATATTTAAGATGAAGTTATCATCCAGAATGGTAGAAAATTTTTCTTTTAATTTGGTAGAGCAGTAAGGCTTCAATCCTTAATATTTTTCCTGCATTACTTTTACTTTTAAACAGCAGGATTTATACTTCTACTGGAGGAATAAACATTAATACTTTCTACACCTCTCGATGTTCTGGCTTTACATGACATGTTTTAGTCTGATCTGCCGTATTATTCTAATTATTTATGTCATTATAAACGGTACAATAGGAATAGATTTAGTTTGTAAATGTAAATCTAAATAAGTCATTTTTTCTTAAAATAAACAGACACTTTGCCAATGGAACAAGACAATATACATTTGAAATAAGAAAAATCAATTGCATTGTCTTATTTCAAGTGCATATTATCTAATTATCTTATTTTAAGTGTAAAAATACTCATTCCATTGGCAGATCATGTTATTTACCTGCTCAAATTGAGGGTAAACACACTTGATATAAGAACATTTTACTTAATTTCAGATCGTTTTGCAGTTTATGATTTAAAAAAAAAGAAGCTTTTCCTTCTGTTAATCTGCTCTATACTCAAGTGGAAAAGTTTTAATTTCATAAAATGTCTTCTTTAAGGAAGCTTTGGGTATCTGATTATTAAGCGATTAATTGAAAGAAATAATCATCAGTATAAATTAGGGATGCACGATATAATCGGCCCCCTATCGGTATCGGCCTTAAAACTGAATATCGGACATCGGCCACCCCACCGATATTTAACCCGATATTTGATCAGCTTCTGAGTTTCTAAAGTCTAAAAAAAAATTAATAAATAAATAATACTTCTTCTTCTTCCTCAAAAACTTCTTTTTTACAGACTTAAAAACTTCTAAAGATGAGGGCAAAAATATTGATCCATTAAAATATCCCAATATCTTCATATGCTGATATATTGCCATTTAAAAACACAAGATCAATCTCTTTTACCAATGAAATATTGCTATATGTCATCGTTATGCTACGAAATCCCCTGAAAATTCACGAAATGTTGCCATATTTTTATATGTTGATATATTGACGCGGTATCGATCTATTTTACTAACAAAATCTCACAAGAATTTGCAAAATATCACGAGAGTTTGTAACAGAACGATGAAATTTCGCCAGATTTTGAAAGTAAAATAGATTTTAAAAATCAATTTGATATCAGCATATGAAAATATATTTGAGTATATTATTTTTCCAAGTGTCAGAAATGGATAACAAAACTGCTATTTTCAATGACTACTTATTTTTGTCCAGCTTTAACATCGGTATCGATATCGGTTATCGGCTACATGAGTTTTAAAATATCGGCATATCGGATATCGGCCAAAATCCCAATATCGTGCATCACTAGTATAAATTAATGGACAGCTTTAAGGACTTTCTACCAAAAAAAAATGTTCCCTAGCTGATGTTCTCTAAATATAGAGCAGAAAAGTGGTTTAGTTTTCCATCGCCAAAGGGTTCATTGTTATGTTAAACCATAAATCAGGCTCAGGATTAGAAGGTTTCAGGGAAAATTAAAACTTGATTTCACTCCCTGTTTTTTAAAAAGTAAATATTTCACAAACTTTGTTTTAGGAAAGAAATAACCAATGTTAAATACTTTCATCCAGGCTTGGCCGGTACATATATTGCAGTTCATGGTGAAGTTCTATGGAAATCAAAATGCAGAAAAATCATTTATAGGAATCAGAAGTTCCAGATCCGGTCAGTCTGGATTGATCAAACGAGGACTGGATCGGCGTTTGAAGCTGTGAGAAGGCCTTCCATTTAGTGCTGATAAAAAGCACCTGAGCAAAGGCCAAATTGTCCATCGTCAGCAGCAGCTAACAGTCAGTCTAGGTCTGTTTACACTGCAAAAAATCTAAATCTACACTAGTCAGTTTTTTTCTTAAAATAAGAGCAATTGTTCTTGAATTGAGGAGGTAAAAGAGACATTCTGCCAATGGAACAAGACAATTTACACTTAAAATAAGAAAACACAATTACATTGTCTTATTTCAAGTGCATATTATCTAATTATCTTATTTTAGGAGTAGAATTACTTATGCAATTGGCAAACTATCTCATTTACCTTCTCAAATTAAGGGTGAATACACTTGATTTAGGAAAGTTTTACTTATTTCTAGATTGTTTTTGCAGTGTACTGTATTCCTGCTCGTCGCCCAGGTTTGCACGTCTCTAAAGCCATGAGAGGTTTTGTCACATCAAGGACCGTTTGTTTGCATCCACGAATCTTTGTGTTTCTATACTCTTTTTCACAAGGCTTACTAATGTTCTGCCACCATATTTTTTCAACCCGACAACCAAAATGTCATGGCAACAGTTTTAAAGCAGTGGATGCCTTTTCAAACCTTTTTTAAATTTAGCGTCGTCAGACATGCCATGGCCTTCATCAGCTAACACAACAGGGTGATACAAGAACCGCCTTCTTTTATCTTCAAAATAAGAATCTAACACAAAAATAAACGAGGATCTCAAGTCACACTCTTCGTGCGACATGACAATTTTGGAAGCGCAACCTATCTTTTAATATTTTCTCTAACAAATATTGTTTCATCTCCTTTAATCAGGTTTTTCCTTTCACATGGCAGCTCCTCCCTCCCTATATTTACCGCTCAAGCTGACAGTTTCATGGTGAATTCATTTTAAAAAATGACCAGTTTCTTTTATTCGAAACAATAAAAAGAACGACCACACGAACCACCTACAGCTGAATTTGGGAAGAAAAGGTGTTGATAGAAACGAGCCAATTTTTTAAAATGTAAGGAGTAGAAAGTACAGATATTTGTGTAAAAATGTGAGGAGTGGAAGTAAAAAGTCGCCATAAAAATAAGTAGTAAAGTAAAGTAAAAATATCAGAAAAATCTACTTGAGTACAGTAACAAAGTATTTCTACTTCGTTACTTCCCATCTCTGTGCATGGATAATAGGGAGAAACTATAAAGCACGCTGACTACACCCTGGCTTCCTTCTACGTTGCTCTTCATCGTTTACTTTCCTGATTTCATCAACGCTAACCCAGTTTGATGATGTCACCAGACACTAGCTTCGGGGTGACAGAGACGACACATCGACACAGCCTTTTATACCAATGGGAAGGGAGTCAACTGTTACTGGGTTGACCCATGTTTGAAAAACACTTTTTAACACGCTTTTTTTTAGTAGGAAATAGGCTTAAGATAGCCGGAGCTGAGAGTTTGTGAGAGTTGGAACTTTATTGTGGAAACAATAAGGATTGATTGGCTAATTTCAACCCTGGTCGCCTTTGGATAACTCAGTCCATCCAGTCTTCATCATGAGAAAAACACTTAAAGAAAATCCTTTTATTGTCCCACAATGGGATTGTGGTGTTAAAGCAGCAAAAGATTATAGTTAGAGTGATTACACAAATGTCT